CAGCTCACAAGAACCGGCAACGGGCCATTTGCTGCAACATCCAAAGGGAAAGCAGACTCAGCACCTCAAGCAAATAAGGCCCAGCACTTCCTGTGTGAGCTTTCCATTTCCTCAGTCAAACAAAAGCCAAAAGGGAGTAAGGAAGAGAGGTGGAATAAAGGAAGAAATGCTGCAGAAGAGTCAAGAGACCTGATGGTATAGGACATGATTGCATATATAAGGGATCTGTGGTTGTGAGGCGATGTGACCCAGGAAGGCCTAAGGTTCAGGGACAGATGTTCTGCCTCCCCATTCCTGAAAGGAATGAGGGAATATTCAGTGGCCCCTGCACATGCTCAGAAGCAATGGCTTAGATATTTGGAGAACTAAGTTCATTCCTGGAATTTTCTGCAAATTGCCTATTTTCATTATAGATTAACAGCCTAAAATGCTTGGGACTGTACATGCTAACTCTGGGGATCACTGCTGGGAAATAGCTGCCCCTAGACAACAAGTCTGTTAGTTTCTTTGTATGACCCCAGCTGCCCAACTCAGGGCTCTTGAGGTCACAGCCTGGAGCACAGTTTGGAAACCTAGAAGGGCTCACAGGAAGGATGCAAATGGTTGCTGTAAGCATTGCCCACATGGTTACAGAGAGAAGTGAGATTAACAGTCCAGGGGTGCCTCTTAGGGTGAGGAATAAGGAAAAATCTGGAAGGAAAGTAGAGGAAATCAGACTACACAGCCCACACAGAAAGTGTAATAATTGCTGCCCAGAAGTCTCTGCTGCAACTTTCCTTCTGTGGGTCACCCATGAGTCTGGGAGATACCCATGTCTGGACCCCAACCCAGAGGAACTCCCCTCCCACTCCCTAGCAGCAACCAAGGTCTCCATACTCTGTCCTCCAGTATTTTCCCTCTCCCAGAGATGAGTCCTGGACATGAATGATGAGGTACTGGATATAGAGGCTTGTTTTAAAACACCACACAGTGCCTGAAGAAGTTTTCAGTGCATATACTTGCCAGAGACCAAAAAAAGACAATGAGGCTAGGGAAAGGAAGAGAAAGGTGTGTGTAAGGGTGGGGACAGGCAGAGACACAGAAATAAAAAGGGGAGAGGGGTGGAGAAAGACAGTGAAGGGAAAGGGAGAAGTGAGAAAGATGGGCAGAGTTAACAGAGACAGAGCCTATGTGCACATATATTCAGATACTACTATGCAAATATGAAAACACAGAAAAGAAAGGGACACAGATTAGCACTCGGTAAGCCTTCTCTATAATGGGCTGGGTAGTTAGTATTTTAGGCTACGTGGGCTGTTTAGTCTCACATGGAGTGGCATCCACTCAACTCTGCCTCTACTGTGTGAAAGTAGCCACAGATTAAGTGTAAACAAATAAGCATGGCTATGTTCCCATACAACATTACAGACACTGAAATCTAACTTTCATATAATTTTCATGGATCATGAAATAGTATTCTTATTTCTCTCTCAACCATTTAAAAATGTATACTCTTCTTAGCTTGTGGGGCACAGTGTGCTAACCCTTGATACAGTCTACAGACACACAGCAACAGAAGCTGGCAGAGACAACAGAAGCAGGCTGACACAAGCCCGGCAAGTAGCTGCAAGCAAACCTACATACACAGAATCCCCTTCCAAGAGAGATCCAGACTAGCACACAGGGACAATCAAACTGACACATACAGACATGGTTACAAACATGGACACGGACACAGACTTTTCGGACCATATGCACATTTTCACAGGACACAGTCACACACAGACATGAATAGGACCAAAGCAAACAAAAACTGACATAGATACGGACAATGAAAAGACCCCTATCAGGACACATGAACCCTTTAGAGACAAACACAGACCCAAGAACATACAAAGACATAGATATGAACTGGCATGGGTACAGAATGGGACATATCATATGAACATCCATGAATATAACACATGTGACCACAGATGGACATATGTGGACACATATACATATGCAGCAATTGACAGACACCCCGAAAGACCTCTAGATAGACAACCATGTAAAGGCAGAAACACTAGATCTTCACACTTGGCAAAGATAAGACATTGAGACACACAGACTCACAGACACACACAGACATATGGTCCCAGACAGCTAGGGTCAGACACATCCCAGACATGGACAAAGAAACAGCCACACGAGGTTGCAAAATACTGTGAATGTAGTTTATGCCAACGACTTGTAAACATAAAAATGGTTCAGATGATCATTCGCTGGTAAATGGATGGAATTGGAGAACATCATTCTGAGTGAGGTTAGCCTGGCCCAAAAGACCAAAAATCATATGTTCTCCCTCATATGTGGACATTAGATCAAGGGCAAACACAACAAGGGGATTGGACTTTGAGCACATGATAAAAGCTTTAGCACACAAGGGAGGTGTGAGGCTAGGTAAGACACCTAAAAAATTAGTTAGCATTTGTTGCCCTTAACGCAGAGAAACTAAAGCAGATACCTTAAAAGCAACTGAGGCCGATAGGAAAAGGGGACCAGGAACTAGAGAAAAGGTGAGATCAAAAAGAATTAACCTAGAAGGTAACACACACGCACAGGAAATTAATGTGAGTCAACTCCCTGTATGGCTATCCTTATCTCAACCAGCAAAAACCCTTGTTCCTTCCTATTATGGCTTATACTCTCTCTACAACAAAATTAGAAATAAGGGCAAAATAGTTTCTGCTGGGTATTGAGGGGGTGGGGGGGGAGAGGGAGGGGGCGGAGTGGGTGGTAAGGGAGGGGGTGGGGGCAGGGGGGAGAAATGACCCAAGCCTTGTATGCACATATGAATTTAAAAAAAAAATGGTTCAGATGGCAAATCTTGGTATATGTTTTAGCACTATTTTGAAAAAGAAAAAAATTGCCATATAAATATAAATACAACCAGACCCCAAACTCTAAAGTTGATACAGGAAAGAGTAGGAAATACTCTGGAATTAGTAGGTATAGGTAAGAACTTTCTCAATGGAACCCCAGCAGCACAGCAACTAAGAGATAGCATAGATAAATGGGACTTCATAAAACTAAAAAGCTTCTGCTCAACAAAATAAATGGTCTCTAAACTGAAGAGAGCACCCACAGAGTAGGAGAAATATTTGCCAGCTACACATCAGACAAAGGACTGATAACCAGAATATATAGGGAACTTAAAAAACTAAATTCTCCCAAAACTAATGAACCAATAAAGAAATGGGCAAGTGAACAAAACAGAACTCTCTCAAAAGAAGAAACTCAAATAGCCAAAAAACACACGAAAAAATGCTCACCATCTCTAGCAATAAAGGAAATGCAAATTAAAACCACACTAAGATTCCACCTCACCCGTGTTAGAATAGCCATCATTAGCAACACCACCAACAACAGGTGTTGGCAAGGATTCAGGGAAAAAAGAACCCTCTTAAACTGCTGGTGGGAATGTAAACTAGTACAACCACTCTGGAAAAAAATTTGGAGGCTACTTAAAAAGCTAAACATTGATCTACCATATGATACAGCAATACCACTCTTGGGGATATACCCAAAAGACTGTGACACAGGTTACTCCAGAGGCACCTGCACACCCATGTTTATTGCAGCACTATTCATAATAGCCAAGTTATGGAAACAGCCAAGATGCCCCACCACTGACGAATGGATCAAGAAAATGTGGTATCTATACACAATGGAATTTTATGCAGCCATGAAGAAGAACAAAATGTTATCATTCGCTGGTAAATGGATGGAATTGGAGAACATCATTCTGAGTGAGGTTAGCCTGGCCCAAAAGACCAAAAATCGTATGTTCTCCCTCATATGCAGACATTAGATCAAGGGCAAACACAACAAGGGGATTGGACATGATAAAAGTGAGAGTACACAAGAGAGGTATGAGGATAGGTAAGACACCTAAAAAACTAGATAGCATTTGTTGCCCTCAACGCAGAGAAACTAAAGCAGATACTTTAAAGCAAATGAGGCCAACAGGAGAAGGGGACCAGGAAGTAGAGAAAAGGTTAATTCAAGAAGAATTAACTTAGAAGGTAACACACATGCACAGGAAATCAATGTGAGTCAACTCCCTGTATAGCTATCCTTATCTCAACTAGCAAAAACCCTTGGCCCTTCCTATTATTGCTTATACTCTCTCTTCAACAAAATTAGAGATAAGGGCAATATAGTTTCTGCCGGTATCGAGGGGGTGGGGGGGAGAGGGAGGGGGCAGAGAAGGTAAGGGAGGGGGAGGGGGAAGGGGGGAGAAATGACCTAAACATTGTATGCACATATGAATTAAAAAAAATACATACATATATATAAATACAAAATAGATAAATATAAATAAAAAATAGATCTACACAGACCATTTAAGCGGACCCACATATTCCAAGACCAATACACGTCCCACCCAGATACCCTGAGAGATACTACACTGACACATGGGCAAGGTGAGAAGACAGGGAATGAGTGAAAAGAAGAATGAGAGAGAAATGCACACACTCACCCTCTCACACCCTAAAAAGGCAAGAGGAGGCAAGGAGATTGAGTACAAAAGATAGCACCAGCAGAATTGAGACTGTTGAGAGAGGTACAGAGTAAAAACTAAAAGAAACAGAAAGAGACAAAGTCTCTCACATGATCATCAACACACATTCATACTCTAGAGGTAGTTGTAACAATGGTGAGCATTAACAATATGAACTGAGGATGAAAGAGCAAGAACAAGGACAAAGAACAACAACAAAAAAAACCAGAGAATACAGAGCAAGAAAAAGCAGGAAAACTCAAGAGGAGGACCCACGGGACTGCAGAATAGGCCAAAATAATCTAAAACATCACAGGATAAGGCAAGTGTTCAAGGAAGGGGTAAACAAAAATTCAAATAAGGAGGGAACAGGGAAAAAACATGGGCTGTGTGTGGGAGAAAACAAAGAGGGGAGCTGAGGAAGTATAGGTGGGCCAAGCCCAGCAGAGCAGAAGGAATGGGTAGGCCAACTCACTGAGAGGGCAGATCCAGGGATGTGGGCGGAGGATTCCAGGTGTCTGGGTAGCCGAGCATCCAGTCTGACCAGACTTTCACACTGGGGAGCAGTTCCTTCAGGTCTGGGACAAAGGAAGACACCTTGATGTCATCTTGATCATCCTGGTCCTCAGGAGAGGACAGTTGAGCTGTAGAGGCAAAGAATGAGAACTGAGCCTATGTCTATTGTGGCCCCTCCAAAGTGAGGCCTGTGACGCTGGGATGGCAGCAATCTTTTAAGGCAGGGAGATTAAGTACACAGAAAATCTGGGCCCAGAAGTGAAGACAAGTGCCAACATCTAAGAGGATTCTAGAAAGTAGGAAAAAGAGAACCAGTGTATTGGGTTTGCCCCTGGATACAGCTCTTTCTGCTTCACCTGAGGCCTGGCTGAAGACTCTACTCCGGCCTCTAGCCCATTCTTTTAGCTTTCCTTCAGCATATTGCTGAAATGGCACCAGAGTTCTTGCCAAACTTGCATAACCTGAATTTAACCATAAGGAAATATCACAGAAACCCAAATTGTGGGACATTCTACAAAATAAGTGGCTTGAACTCTTCAAAAATGTCAAGGTCCTGAAGGACAAAGACTGATGAACCATCCCAGAATAAAGACTAAAGAGCTAGGGATGTAGCTTAGTGGTAGAGTGCTTGCCTAGCAAGTGCAAGGCTCTGGGTTCAATCCTAGAGTGTACTGGGGTGGCAGGGGGTGGAGCAGCGAGGGGGTGAGGGGGGAAGATATGGCATATAAATGCAGTGTGTGATCCTGGATTAGACGCTAGGGCAGAAAAAAAACCAACTTTTTTTCCCCCTCCTTTATAAAGAGCATTATTAGAGCTGAATGTGGCGGTGCATACCATGCACCTGTAATCCTAGTACTTGGGAGGTAGAGGCAGGAGGATCCTAGGTCAGCCTAGGCTATTAAGTGAAACCCCATCTCAAAAAACAAACAAAAGAACTTTATTAGGACAACTGGCACAAACTGAGCCAAGGCCTGTAGATTCAATAATATATCAGTGTTTATTTCCTGATTTTGATAACTGTTAAAAGCATGTCCTTGTTTTTAGGAAATATAGAGTCAAGTATTTAGGGGTAAAGAACTACCATGCCTGCAACTTAAGATCAAATGGTTCCATTCACAATAAACTTAAGAGTGAGTGTGTTGACTGTGTTCATATGCAAAGAGACAGAACTTAAAGTATATGGTAAAATGTTAACTGGTAGACAGCCTAGAAGAAGGGTATATAAAAGTACTTTGGGCTATTCTTAAAACTATTCTGTAAATCTGAAGTTCTTTCAAAATAAAAAGTTGCCTCCCTACACCTGAACAAAAGCCAGCCCTAGAGGTTATAGGCATTCACAAAGCTGGTGTGGCAGGGGATGACAGAGAGACTACTCATTAACACTGATGCAGGAGCTGAAGAGGAAAGTGTGATCTTCAGCCTTACCTTACATGGCTACTGCAATCAGGCCTAGAATTCTCAGGGCACCTTAAAGGATATAACATAATACTTTAGGCCTGGAGTTAAAAATAGTGTCTGTCTGGTCCAAAAAGCCTCCAAGATGTCTGGCCTACAGTGGTTATAACACCTACCAGGTAAGAAGGAGAGACACAGAGATAAAAGGAATAAAAATAAAACATCAGTTATGAACAAAAAGGGAAGCATGTTTAATCCCCAAGCACTGGGGGTGGGAGAAGGAAAGTCATTTTTCTTGTCTTTTTAAAGATGTAAGAACATACAACAGCTCATAGGTACAGTGAAAATCTTAACAACTAAAGGAGAAAAGAGTGAAGGAACAGATTCAGAAGGAAGAAAGAGGGCCCAAGAGGCCATCAGACTGCAGACAGAGATGAGACTAATTAAAGTGACAAAAGTAAGAGGGGCATGTTAGGAGGAGAAGGACAGGAGGGTAGAGGAAGAAGATACTGAGAAGGCAGCCTGGCATTCTGAGGCTCATTTGGACAGGGCCAGGCAGCTGGAAAGCCCACTGGTCAGGGACCCTCCTGCTTACCTTTGGCAGATTCCTTAAGTAAGCAGGTACAGCGCCGCACCAGTAGAGAAAACATGGCCAGGCCCAGGGTTGCAGCTTGCTCCTGGATCACAGAACGACACTCCTCTGAGAAGCAGTCTGAGGAGAGGCAAAGGAACTCCATCATACTCTGGAGGCCAAGGACTACTTCCCTACCTTATGAAGGGTGCCTCCTTGGCCACTTTACCGAGTTTCCTTTTGCTCATCTAAAACAATGGGTAGTAATATTCCCTCTCTTGAAGGAGGATTAAAAAAGGCTTATAATTAAGATAATATATGTTGCTGGGCACTGGTGGTTCATGCCTATTATCCTAGCTACTTGGGAAGCTGAGAGTGGGAAGCTCTAGGCCAGCCCAAGCAAATAGCTCATGAGATCCCATCTTCAAAATAACCAGAGCAAAATGGACTGGAGGTGTGTTTCAAGCGGTAGAGTGCCTGCTTTGGAAACATGAAGCCCTGAGTTCAAACCCTAGTCCCACCAAAAAATATATGTATAATATATGGGAAGCACTCACCAGCATGTCTGGCATATGGATAAGTGCTCAATTATCTGTAAGGATCACCTATGTAAATTTGACACCACATATCTATCCCAGGATCCATTAGTTCAAGGCAGGCAATGTCAGCTGGAGTTGCAGGGTCTCTGCCTTTAGCTAGCTACTGATAATGTAAAGCTGTAACAGAAATTTACCTCCTTACCCCAGTCTCTCTAATGTATAACTAGTAGGAACACTATCAACAATTAAAAAATTACCTTCAATCCCACCAGCCTTTGGTTCTAGGTCTACCTCCTCTATAGTGCTCCTCCTAACCAAATACATGTGATACAATTAACCTACTTTTCCCGAATGAGTTAATTTTATAGAAAGCAGTGCCAGGCATATAAGACACACTTAATCAGTGTTAGCATTTATTTTTATTTTCCCTTAGGGCTAAAAAAATAAAACTGGCTCCCAATACCAGCACCCTCTGTCCCTCACCGTCAGGCCAGTTAACTTCCTTCTGGCTGTAGGTCACTGAAAGGAGCTACTCTGTTGGTGGGCAGAGTGAGTCTTCTGTGGGAACAACATAACATGCTCCCACCTCTCTGCCTGCATCTACTCCTTGTCAGTGGCCTCCTCAACAGCCTCTTCACCAGACTTGAGGGGAACTGGTGACAAACAGAAGGTAGCGGTCCAGGGCTGGAGGTATGGCTCAAGGGGTAAAGCACTTGCCTAACAAGGACGAAGCCTTAAGTTCAAACCCTAGTACCAAAACTCGGCCCCTGACTGCCCCCCTCACCCCCCGCCAAAAAAAAGCAGTGGTCTACCCTTAGGAGAAGAGACACCCAAGTGATAGACGCACCAAACTCACTAGCTCTGGCAGCAGTTAATCTGTTAATTTCCTCTGTAACACAGGAGAACTCTGAGTCTCCAAGTGTTAAAAGGACATTTAGTCACAGGTTTGATCTTGGTCCCTGCATGCATTTTAACCTCTGTCAGCTCTCTAGTCTTGTCAGTGGGCCTAACTGAAGTTGTTACTCCAGAAATGCTACACAACCACAGCTATTCCTAAAAATCTTCACCACAGGAGCAAGGATGACCCAAGAATACTAAGCCTGCTCAAAGTACTTTCAAAGACCTGGAAGTGAGGAGCAGGCTGCTCAGGAGGGCCCAATGTATTAACAGCACTAATGCACCAATTTTTCTATTGTGGTCATCCTTCCAGATGCCTGGTAGTTCCAAATGTCACCCTCTAACTTTCCAACTTAACTGTAGCAGGCAGTGAGGCACTGGCAACAATTCATGAGATCAGAATAGACCACCACTCTCAGTCTTCTCCTGGTAAGGCCCTAAACCTCTGCTAAACAGACAGAAAACAAGCATCCAAGAACCAAGAGACAGGGAGATGTGAGCAGAGGAGGGGACGATGTGGAAGCTGTCCCAAGAAAAGTTGCCAAAGTCTTCCCTTGCCCCTCCCCTAGCCATAGGCAGCAACACTGTCAGTTCCGCTCCAGCTCAGTACAGGTCCCTGCCAAGCACTGCCAACAGCCTGCCTCTAATTAGCAACAAAGCCCGAATGAGGGAATAAGTCCAAGACAGACAAAGCTGGGATAACTAGCTGCTCTGCATGGTTATGTCACTCAGCCTCTCGATCCTCATGCCCTCCAGAGTAAGGCCCAAGGGCACTGCCTGACTTTGTGTCTGGTTCAACTGATGAGGAGGTGCAAACCAGGAAGTTACTCTGTCCTGATCAAGCAGGAAGACATATCAAAAGCCCAAAATGTCTGGGTCTTGATCAGCTCTAGACTGACCATGCTATCTGGAGCACTTTCTGGAAGGCTTGTTCCTCTCCCTGGCTCAGGTATGCATTTAAAATGTGCTAGGTACTGTGGAGAACATAGCTACAAATAAATTATGGTCTCTACAACCAAAGAACCTTTAGTAGGCTGAAGAGAATTATTTATCCAAGTAACCATAGCAACTTGGACCCAATACATTTCAAGTGAATAATGTACTACATACATAGTATCTTCAGAGGAGGCTCTTGGCTTCACCTAGGCTTAGTGGACTAGAAGTCATAAGATACCTCTCTTGGAGAGTATTCATCCTTATATAAGTGAGTGGGAAAATAGATTCCTAGAGTCCACCCACTTTGGGATTAGACTTAGAAAACTGGCCTTAGTCTGACAAACGTCCACATATATCCCTAGAGTTGGGCTATGTCAGGCCAACAAGTGTGTGGGGTGGAAGAGGAAAAGCATTGTTTGTCTTGGTATTTGCCTGGGTTCCTCTGGCTTTGTGTCGGGTAGCAAGAGCCTAACATGAGCTGAGGAACTCATTAACATTGTGAAATAGCCTTTCCCCTTCTTTCCAAAAGTAGATTTGCTCAAGGATTTAGGGAGATGGTTTTGGCTACGGATGTCAGAAATATTTTTTACCAAAAAAGTCACCTGAGGTCTGAACTTGGTTTTGCCCCTTCCCACATGTGGACAAGGTGACCACACCTCCTAGTATTTCTGTGGCCAAATACCTGCTCAGGCAGAAATATTCGTGCTCCTACATAACAGGGACACTTTCTCATTTTTTTTTCCTCTGAGAACACATTCATGGAAAACATAAACCAACTGTCGTCAAAGTTGTATGAAATCAGGAAATGGAGCGGCCGGGAGAAGGTTGCCATGTGGCCGGATGTTATGTATTTCTAATTAGTGCTATACATCTTTCAACAGCAAGTGTCCTTCTGCTGGGAAACACAACACACTGCCCTTGTTATTGTAACTGTCAGAGAAGTGCTTAAACAGATAATCTCCAGGAAAAGTGATAAACACGTCCCCTCTTCCACCAGTGTGTGTGCGATGGTGCTGCCAAAGCAAAGCTGTGCCTGATGGCTCCAGGATGGCAAAGCATCCTCCTGCAGGAAATGGGAGCAAGTCAGGAGGGGTGGGAAGGGATGAGAGGGGAGGGGAGTAGAGGCAGGCCCACCTGCTTGCACCGTTAATCCCAGCCAAGGGACAGTGATTCAGAACTACTGCTTCTGATAAACTCCTGGGACAGAGTACCAAGTTTTTTAAAGGGAGAGATTCAGAGAAAACCTGTATCAGTGGGATGGGGTTTGGCTGGTCACAGATAAATCTGGCAGCAACTGAATTAGCAGAGTTCCCTTGATGCACACAGATTGCTACCGTGACAGAAGTGGGAGGGATTCAGAGGGCACTGAGGTCCACTAGCCATTTTATCACAAAAAAAAAAAAAAAAAAAAAAACACAACTACCTGCTTGGCTATTTTAGCTGAAGAAAAATGCAGGCAAGACCCCTTCTTCACTGATTACCTCCAGTTATTTCCTCTCAACAAGAGGAAATGAATAGTCAGTCACTTCCAAACTAACACCACCTGGAGGTGATTTGTGGCCTCTTATCTTTCAGATATCAGACTGCTTTTCTCATGAGTCAGTCACCAATCTGACGCAGGGCTGGCACAAAGCTGTTCCTGAACAGCCCACCCAACCCGTTGTCTATAAGAAGTGGGCAGTAAGAACATCTTTTGATTGCTGATGCTTGAGCCAGAGTTCTCTATGGCAGCTGCTGGGTGAAGAGGAGGTAGGAGGCAGTAGTCTCTGCATAGGAGCCAGAAAAGAACAAAATTTCAGAGCAAAGGTTAAGATGTTCATTCCCTCAGGACATTATTTTATTTCCTGAGGAGAGAATGAATGAGTCAGAAGAATCAAGCATCAATACACTCAAGCAAAGTACTCATGCACAATGGTGGAACAATCAGACTGACTGGGTATAAGGCAAACCATTTCATATCTCTGAACAGGGTACAGCCAAGGGACAAGACAGAGGGAGGTGGAAAGCAATGTTGCCTTCCTAGGAGCTTTCACTGTCATACCTGCTGCTTCCCTTTGGATATTCCAGAATTATAAAACCCAGGCTTCTTCTAGTGCTCTACTGAATGTGGGGAGATGGACAAAGAAAATACAAACTTCCTAACAAAGTGAACTCTCTCACTGATTCCGAAAACATTTATTTGGGTGTTCAATGTGGAAGATTGAAAGGAAACTAGGACCCTGTCATGAGAAGATGATAATCTAATGAAAAAGATAGGAAAAATATATACATACCCAAATAACTGTAATTTAAGCAATGTATCACATGCTATAGGAAAGATGGGAATAAGATGTTTTTTTCTCCTGGGAGGAAAGGAAGTAATTTCATCTAGTGTCTATCAGCAAAGGGCCATTCTATGGTATCACAGAAGAGACCCTTTCTGAGATGGGCTGCAAGGTAGGACACTGACAGAATTGGTGGATGCAGGAGGGACTGTATATGGAGGCAGGAAGCACAAAGCATGGAACCTGCCTTTCCGGGGTCCACAAAGCATAGGGCCTGCAATAGGCTGAATAAAGAACACAGACTTGCCTCAACAGAGAGAAGGTTTCTAAATGAAGCAACGACATTTTAGGAAGACTAATCCAGTTAAAACATTTAGAAAAGGCTAGAATAGCTGGAAAAAGGTAACAGAGAGGGAGACCAGTTAGAAAACTAAGAAGACATGAACTTGTTTGAATTAAAACAAATTATACATAGAGCACTTTATAATAAATGAAGCACACAGAT